TGTTTGCCTGCCTAAGCGCCGCCGTACGTCGAGAAAGGATTCGAATTCAACAAAAATAACTAAATAATTGTGAGATAAAAATTTTGATATAATAAGATGATAATAAGTGTATTCGCATTTTAAATGTGGCATCATTAATGTTACATGATTGCTGCGTCGCCCTGTACCCATAAAATACGTACAGAATTTTTTTTTAATTTAAACGATTTTAATTATTTTAATGCACTTCTTTGCATTTAATGCAAATTTAGTAAAATAGTTTGCCCCGTTAAGAAGATTTCTTTCTACATGATATTAACAGTAATGTATAATTATATTCCCATAAGTTATACGTGGATCTTAAATTTTTTCACTGATATACTAATTGGAGGAGGCTCGAGATTTATATTGGACTCTGTCGTGTCGAGATTATTTTACCTTTTATCAATTTCATTACAAGTTTCTTATGCTAATTACTTCAAAACAGATCACGAAAGGCAGTTATGCGGAATGGACAACTCGTAAAACGTAAACAGCGCCGCGTACGAATGTCTGCGCTTCACGCACTTGGTCGACAGGGATGGGAAAAACGGCGGTGGGGCCGGATGAGAGGGAGGGAAAAGACGAGATGTTGACCGATGCGGAAGAAACTACGCTAATTCCATTGTATAACAATTGAGATCCAACGTAAAAGCACATTTCCTTCCTAATTCCACGCTTACCAAAATTCAGGACTTGCAAGGCTTCGGGACTTCCTACGAGTACACGATGAAGCTTTAATCTACCGATCGTCCTAGTCACAGTATCTCCCGATGCATAATTTTTACGTTCACTTCTAGCCTGAATTGCCAATAACATTGCATTTCATCGAATAAAGTGGCTGAATAATCTCAGCTGAAACCATTTACACGTAGCCAAAATACAACGGCTAACCGCTGTGTGCCGGGCTGAGTGTGCCAATGCGATAATATCCAATAGAAATTGTAAAATATAAGGATTCCCCTTAATGACGTGAAAGATTCTCCTCAATAGGTTAGGATGCCGGTCGCGGATACCGGGTCACGAACCTACCAGGACAACATCAGCATGCATCGCATTGCCAAAGACCATGCATGGTCAAAGACCAACTTTATTTAACAAGCGTCACATTGAAGCACAGAGCACTCAAAAAGATTCATCCGATCGATCTTCTAGTGTAGTTGTATCTTGTAGTGTACAGTCGATCGCAAATGAAAAATAAATGAGCAACAGCATCCTAATGGTAGCGGAAGCAGCTTCACATCAGCCACTCCATAGGTTGGAATGAAATTTTTAGATATGCATAAGATTTACAGGAGGCATTTTCTTTAATGGATTGCGGTGGACGCCAAAGTAACCTGTGGAAAGACGCAACCTGCTGGTATGTCGCCAACTATCGAATAGTTCCAATTGAATGTGAGATCATCGAGCGCCTGCTACGACGCAAATACAACAAAGGGATACACAAGAGCAAAGGGAAGACGAGTACTTTTGTTTGTTTAAACCACGCTACTCCACACAAAGTAGCACCATCAAGCCCGTCGAGGTTCTCGACGTGCTGGCAAAGTGCATCCGAGAGAACAACGCTGATCCAATAGCAAGAGGCGTTCAAGACAGCCACAACAAACATTCACCAACGCACATACCGTGACTACCAAGTAGCTATGCTTATGCTAGCAGCAGGAGCACAACGCTCCCATCGCTCCAGTGAATGTGTCGGTGATAACGCCGCCCCAAGCGACCACTACGTCATTAAGCGATTCGGATTAACGGACGGGACGTCGTGACCTTGATCGCCTTGTCACCCAACGATCCACACAATACGCATCCACGCATCCGTGTATAGTACAAGAGGGTTAGCCACTTGTCTCATTCTCAGTGGAGAATTCTGGTGCTTTTGGTGAATAAAGATGCATAACTTCTATAGAAACTGGAGGTAGCGTAAGGGGCTGACCTATCATTAATAGCTATCGGACGTCTACGGCGAAGGATTTGTCAACTTAGCGGTCAGATTTGTAATTTATCTTCATCCTGAATCTTAGTTGACTCAAGAATAATGCGATCCTTCGCGCATTTTCACGTAATAACCCGTCGCCATATCCCCCGTACTCTGTCTAAAGAAAATGCTTATTCAAGAACAGGTGAAAAGGATCACAGCCGACGGCATTACCAATGTTGCGTTCCCTCACACTCCTCCGCGATAATTGTCATATTAGTTGTTTCAACCATCTTGCCGCCCTCTGTCCCTCAGTCTCGCAGCAGTCTGCCCTTCTCGGGGTGAACGCGTAAGGTGTAAGCGTAAGCGTAACTTCCACCTGCCCCGATCAAGGCCTAATTTGTAAAAGTAATGAAGTCGCGAGTCAACCACACCCGCCCTTCTAAGGGCAACCAACCAACCAACCAACCGACGCGACGACTCTTTTCCATGCGTAAGAGTCGAGGGCCCCTCGACCTTGAGGATCCGGATCCTCCGAAGGTCCGTGATTTCATGAAACTTCTGGCGTGCGTACGTTCGCCTGTCATACTATAAGTATAAAAGTGAATAAGATTAATAGTGAATGAGGATTATTTTGCATTCCAAGTTTTAAAAGCCGGAGGATATTTGATAAATAAGACGTTGACGCTTGTTATCGGTATTTTATAACGTGTTTTAATCTTATTTTCCAACAAAAGTAATTACTTTTCATTACATTATGTTTGCTAAACGTTACAAATCATATTTTGATAAAATAAAATTTATTTTTTTAAATACGATTATTTTTATAAGATATATATATATATATATACCATTCGAATAACAATATTTAAACTTAACTTTTATGAATTCAGCATGACGATGTAAGTCAACGGCCCCAACGATGCATTATAAATATATATATATTGGAATATTCATACCTTGGTATAATTGTGATTAATGCCTTTATGAAATAACTTTATTTAAAACTAACGGCAATAGTACGATTTAAATAATGTAAACATCCAATGCAAATGGGAGTAGTTTTTAGTTTTATTGGGGTTTTTTTTTTTAATTTTTAGCGTAAACATTCCTTTAGTTGCTTTTTACGTACATTATTTCAAGCGCACATTAATTTGAATTAACAGCCGAGATAAATTACAAAACTTGTGCACTCTATTTATTTTGAGAGATCTGTAATATATTGAATTAATAATTATTAAGGAACGCATTATTTTTATGCTGTCAAAAAGACTTTCAAAGTTGAAACGAATAAATAAATGACTATCCGTGACGTGGTGAATTGCTTTTCTTATAACATGGAAATCGTGGTAACTGAATTTTTTAAACTATTATTTAGATTTATTTTTGTCGACGAGATTAGTTTACGATTTTAAAAATTGTAATTAATGGGAAAGCTCCATTTTAACATTTTATCTGTGTAAGTATTTCACAATCTTTACAATATTATATTTTATATTGGTAATTCAATGTCTATGTGGTGATTTTTTGTACATTATATTTAACTATTATGGCTTACATGTCTTTTCGAAGGATAAATTCTGTTTTCAAATATTTGTATGGTAAGAGCAAACATTTTGAAAAATTATAAAAATTTCCAACAGTGCTACAATTAATTGTATACGATTGCAATTTTTTTTTACCATAAAACATGAAAAATTCTACGCACTTTATAATTATTCATAAATTTCTTATCATCTCTATATTTGAAATTAAAATTAATAATTTTCTTTACGTTGTTCATGAAATCTATTTCCTATTTCTTTAAATTTATATTTTGAGTGTTAGGCCATTGAAATTTTATAAATACATTTGACCAGCATAACCATCATAATATATATATATATATATATATATATATATATATATAGTTAGCATAGCAGTTATTTATACGTTTAAGTATTTTTACGCAAAACAAAATACTTCGCCAATAGCGAGAAACATAAAAAGCATTTAATACACGTTATTTTGCTGTATAAATTCACTTATTCCAATTATATTGACGATGCTAGCATTGACATGTCATAAATTATTTATCCAAAAATCTAACGCGCACTAAAGTCTATTAATCTACTCGATACACGTGCGCCTATAAGTATCAACTTGCTTTTATAAAAATGTATGAATGCATGATAAACCTAACGGATCACACTGCACAAACGCGTTATGCACTTAATTTCCATAGTGTATGCGACTTTTTATTTTTTTTTTTTTGTTTATTTGTTTTCTTCGTTTTTGTTTTTGCTTTCGTTTTTGTTGCTTACTTCGATACAAGCAATTGGGTTATACCTCCGGGCTATAGTAAATTACACGCACGTTTAAAAACAAGGCTTTAACGAACGTGAGTCTTACTTCTCATTCACAAACTCGCCCGTGTCTTTAAAACTATGTAGTATAAAAAGCTTTTTTAAATGCATAAAGTCAGTTGTGATTATGTAGCACAATCTAAGGGAATGTGAAATAAAAGGACTGTTACGAAATAATATATGCAAATGCCTGATTATATTTTATATAAAATCATTATCGAAGTCGTTATAATGCACGAGCACAAATCGACAAGCGGCCGATCGAGTAATAACTCATAAATATATAATAAATGAAATGTTTTAATAAAAATAAACAAACGACTCATTGAATAGCAATCGATTAAATGACGGAAGAATTTTATTAACAAATAATGAATTATTTATGCAGTATTAAGTAAATGGCAATGTATTAAGTAAGCATAACCACCGCGATTTATCATCATTATATATAAATTGTTCGATTCCTCGGCATCATAAAAGACTTATAAATATTTAATTAAAAACGATGCTTATTTAGAATACAGCGTGACTTGGTAATATTTTATTAATGGCTCGAAATACGAAACATCTAAGAAGATGCACATTGACACAGCGAAGAAACCTGCCCCATACTATACATCATAATAATCATGCGCACAGCAGCATGATTTAATTAAAAACATGAGTGACACGAGAAAACATGAGTAATATGAACGATAAAAGACAAACGACTAATATTCTTTTTAGATATCAACCTAAAATACGTCGTGTGATTATCTTTAGAAATCTAGCAGCTAAAAAATATCCTTTACTCACCCTGTTCTGATGAAAGCGCAGACTACCGGAGCGACGTAAAGTTCCACCCCGGATATTGGCCGGTGCCAATTCAACTTTTTGACCGTCGGTGCCACTCCTCCGTGACAACTCCGAAAGCTCAGCAACTGGTTGTACCTACGGCAATCAAGGCAAGAGACTCGGATAAGCAATTTGCGAGCATTCGGTGATGATATTATACAAGGGTATGTAATCGGCGTAAATGGGCGTGATAAACCGCGCCCCATGCAAGCTTTATAGGTACACGCTTTACGCTGTGAGAGAGAGAGACAGAGAAATTAGGCAAATGCTTGCATCATATCCGTTCGGCACTAAAAACTTACAAGCTTATTGTAAAGTGATTAAGTCTAGGTGGTCAAAACTGATTTACAGATAGTGACTTGACAAAAGTGATTGGACATTTGTTTAAAATAAGACTGTTTCTTAGACACGATTAGCCGTCATATAATATATTATAAATTTACACAATAATGTTGACTAATGATAGATTGGTTAGTAATTGATGAAGTAACTCAGTCAATAGACTAAAAAAAAAAATTATACTATTAGCGTAATTAGCAAAATACGATTAACTATAATTGATATACAATTGTAATTTGTACAAGTTCAATCAATGCGCAAGTTTATCTACATTGACGCACATTATTTGTACAGGAATTACGGTTAGTAATTAAGCTTTCAACGAAACGATATTTTAACGCGTTCAAGTGCTTATTTTTGTTAATTGAGTAAATATATGCCAGCGTCACTCAAGAGCAAAAACTAAGAGCAGACAGTGTAAATCTTAAAGTTTATATATTAAAATTAGTATATCTTGACATTCGTTGCAAGTGATGCTTAATTTCGCTTTTAAACTAATGATTATTAGATATTAATACTTCTAAAACTAGTTCTAGCGCTGGCGCATTTAATTTTAAATTATATAAGAGGAGAAAAACTGTTTAAATAAAGCATACATCAGATACATAAACAATAAACCATGGACATTAATGTTGTATATATTCGTATTTGATTAACAAATTATTCTATACTGCGAATTATCAATACCTACTTTTAAGTTCAATTAATCATCTCAATTTATTTATTATTATTATTTAATGAATTGTTTATCATATGTCCATATTATTTATTTTCAATCACCATTAACCTATGGTTTACATTAATAAGAGGCGTTTTGTTTTGCTTACTAAAGGTATAAAATCAATCGACATAAAATTTAACTATATTATGCGTATAATAAAAATGTAGCATGTTTGTTTAGAAAATTACAATTTCAATTGTTTAAGACAGTCTCATTAAATAATAATATTAGCGAAAATTGTAATTTAACCATGTTTCTCAATATTTAGGTATTGAATTTTATATAACTTACATATTATTCCTGATATTGCATGTTTTTGACATATTTGAACGATTAGCATCGCAAAGCCAGATAAGAAATATAAATAAATCACAAATTTAACATTATTCATGAAACAAGTGAAAAAAAATTTTTATCAGAAAAATGATCTCTCTGATCGATGGTTAAATTAATATCGTAATCATATGCGCGTAATTATATACGCATAAATAATATATTAATACATATATATATTAGATAATTTAAAATATTGTTTATTGTTTTCTCTAAGAGATTTATCATTCATTTCAAGTAATATTTTCTGTAAAGCCGCAATAAATATTATCGAATACAAATTAATGGGAAAATGAATACAATCGTCATTTACAAAGTGTAAATGTCAGCAATCTCAGACTTTTAGCCTTTACATGACTTAGTAATATTTCCATATTGTCTATTGCAGTTTATTAATTTACAGTCTATTATATTATTGTAAATATACTACCTTTAAACCTATATATTTAAATTTTATTCGCAATAATAGTTAATAAATTTCATAAAAACTACAATATTTTACTCATTCGATCTTTATTATCGTTAATATGCATACACTAATAACAAATTCGTAATTATAATTGAGTTTTTATTTCCATTCCAATGTTTATCACTTTTTGTGAAAGAAAACGTATAATGTATGTAAATGTAAATTCTATCCCCTGATGAAATATTTTCATTAGTAAAAGAAAAATTAACCTAATATTCACTTGTAAGAAAATTGTTATAGCCTGGAATTTCCAAGAATTGCGAATAAAATAATCTTTTTCAAATTGCAATGTCGTTTAAAAAAAGAGATTTAATTATTATTAGTATTTTAAATAATTGATGAATTCTTAGAAAAGCAGAGCTAAAAGATTGTATAAGCAAGACGAAATATCTTTAGTAACTAATTAGTTGATTCCACTCTCATATCGTTTTAAGTTCACTTCGATAAAAAGTCTCACCACTGATTATCTATTTGATAATTAAAAGCAAAACTCATAATTCTCTCGAAGCGAACGTATGCGCACGGAGAAAGAAGATGAAAATTCAAAGTTAATCCATCTCCCGTCCGTCGTTGCACCCGTCGTTGCACCAGCGTACCTCAACGAGGTATGCCGATATTCTCTTGCTCGAGGTCATAGTTAGACGACAGGCAATTAATAAGTGCAAGACTGATAACAGGGGCCCATACCGTAATGGTTTGTCTGACCAAAATTGCTAGACATGCACTACGATTACCGATTAATTGTCGAATGGCGGATTGTTTGGCGACTCTCAACTTGAAACTAACTATGTATTTTGCTTTTCTTATGGATGTGCTAGGGAGTGGAGCGGCACAGTGCAAATCAACGGAAATTCTTTTCTTTTCAGATTATTAATGTAGTTCATTTTAAATTGAAAGTAACGACAAATTATCACATTATCCTCGAGTATTTATTATCTAAGAAAATAAATAAGTTTTAATACGATGTGATGAAAATTCATGGAATGCTTCGATTAGCGTGTTTTTTCCCCTCGCCACCTCGAGGCACGGACGACACATTACATATTTACAAAATAAACCTTCGTTACAAATAGTTAATTTAAAATACTTTTGCAGTATTATATTATCAGAACTAAATAGATCGATTCAATTTGTAATATACTATCGTCGTTGCTTTAATTTCGAATATTATATTTTAATAAGGCACACAGTAATCGACTGGACTGTTTCGAAAATAATTATATTTATACGCTCGGTGGATTAAGATAAATAAACTAAGCGCCATCTACAGGGTTAATTTATCTCATGTATTAGTAGTATGATTCAAAGGTGAAAAAGAAGAAGAAAAAAGAAAAAGAAAATTTAAGTAAGGAATAAAATAGGCTCTGGTAATCAGCCTCGGTAAAATTGAAGCAAACGTCGTAAGAGACAAACGATGTTGAAAACTCAATGAGATCAAGAACATAATAATACGAAAAATGTGAACCACGAGAGAGAGAGAGAGAGAGAGAGAGAGAGAGAGAGAGAGAGAAAGAGAGAGAGAGATAAAGAAAGAGAGAATGGCTAATTCTTGCTCTCGTGAGTTTATTTGATCTTTTGTACTCATTAAAGGTCCAAAATTTAATTAAACGTTACTCAGTAAATTTGATTAGTTTTATTGTTCATTCCATGGTATAGAAACAAAATGCACAAAGGAAACAATCAAAAGAAAAAACAAAAAACAAGAAACCAAACAAATAAATAAATAATATAAGGTAATGGCAATTTGCATAGAATAATTATCATGTAAAAGAATTCTATTTCGACCACGAGGAGGCGATTAGTTAAAATCAACATACCATTAAATAGTTAAATAAATAAATTTCAGCACTCTTTCTAATCGCTGATCTTGTCCTCACTTCGCAAATAGGCAAGTAAAGCCATTCCAGGGGGGAGTTATTTTCGAGCCCCATGAAACTGGCCGTGTTAACACACAGACTCCGGTTAAAAAAGCACCGAATAGCACTCGCAGGGCGCACTAAGAAGGGACTCTTAAAGGTCAACGAAAGAAGCTTGAAGTTGGCTTCGGCGAGTCGTCGAGAAGCTTATCGTAGGTGCACGCGAGTCCGTCTAAGTCTTCTCCGCGGTACTATGATGCCCTATGGACGCGCAAGTGCTTATCGCAGCAAATGCGTGCGTTATTGATTTGGTTGTGGGTGGTAGACTGCTGTAGGAAGTGAAACGCTTTTTCAATGGATAATATTTGCTTTTATATGGAAAACTTTATGAACTATTTTATATGGGTGTATCGTCGCGAGTGTGCGGACATTCAAGTAAAATAATTCGACAGTCGATCTATAGAATTCCCTCCGTAAATGTAATCCATAAGGGTGATGGATTATTATTAAATAATAATTACATAGGCGTTTATTTATGTATCGAGCTATAAATAATTTTATTGTTAATTATTCTTATTTTGTGTAAGTGTAGCAGGCGTAATCGCCTGTACGTGTTTATTAGAAGCCAATGGGTATGAGAAAAATAAATAGAAAAATATATCTCTACCTCTTTAAATAAGATTTTATGATACTTTTATGGCATTTTGACCATTCTAACTCGAGACAAATGCCAATAAAAGCATACAATCGTCGTGATTGTGAATTCTGAATTTTGCTTACTTTCTAAATTGTATCTATAATCCTCTTTAATATACGGGGTATGCCAATTAATAATGTAAGAATAATGAAAGAATAATGAAATATTTCTGAATATTCCATGTCCAATTTAAAAAAACAACAGAGTAAAAATAAATTTTTAGCAATACACGAAGTTACGACGAACAAATACTAAGATGATTGTTGTAAACTCCAATTATATCTTACGCTATCGTAAGTGACGAGTCTCGGTTCTGACTTAATAATATCTTACTAATTCATTATTACGGTTTAACATTAATCATTGGAATAATGCACGTGAGATGTGTTATTACACTATTGATTCAAGATACCTAAAGTAATGGAATGAAATAATAAATAATAAATGAATTGCTCTCTTTCTTTTTTTGTTCTTTTTTTCTTTTTCTTTTTTTTTTTACATTCGCATTAATTTGCTTTCTATAACAGCAATTAATTTCGACTTGGGACTTGAAGTATCGACGCGATAACCATTCAAAACACGATAAAATGCCTCTCGATAAAGCTAAATGCATCGTTCATTATTAAATGATTAACAACACAGCATCCGACCACCAATTGTCACCATAATATTACAGCGTAT